TAGTATTCAAATTGATTAGCCCCATAGTTAATTTATTGTGTCTGGTGCTGATATTCTGCAAAAATATTTAAAAATTACTCCTTTTCTAAATTAAAAATTTGCCATCTTGTAGGTTACATCTGCCTGAAGATTAAAGAGTTGGTTGTTCTATCATGTAGATTTTATTATATTATTACGATAATGCTGCCATTTATTTTAAAGTAAATATAACAAGTTACTACTTTTATTGATAAGGAAATGCAATGTAAAAATATTTGATGATTACAAATATGATTACTGTTTATTACTTTATTTTAGTCATTTACAGAACAAAACATCTAGATCTCTCTCTCTGTAACTTCCAGTGTTACAATCTACAAAGGAATTCAATTTCTGTTGAGAGTAGGATTCTGATTATTGAGTAAAAATCTTTTATTTAAAATTTCAATTGGTTCTGTATTTCTTGGACAGGGAGGGAGGAGTTTCAGCTGTGCTTCTAAGATCTTCCAGAAGGAATTTTCTACCTCTAAAATCAAGGACTTTCCTGGAAACTGCAGTCAGAGGACAGAACATTAGCCTCAAGCTGGTGAATAGGATGGATTTTCTCCCTAAACATCCCTTCTGCTCTCTAGTTTGAAGTATCAATAAAATGGTTTGGCTTATCTCTGAAAATAACCTTGTTGACAACACAAATATGGATTTAAACATGCTACCTCCACATTAAGATTTAAGAAGCCCCCAGTAAATGTCAGTGGGTGTCGATGTGTTTGCTGTGATACTTGGTTATTATTAGTGTTTAACTGCAATTCCCCACCAGCGCCATGCTGCCAGCACCACCATAAATTTTAATGTGATCATGTGCTCTTCTCTTTTCATATCCAGTGAATTCTGCAAGATCATAATATTCTATATGAACCCTAGCTGAACCTTAGTGTGATATGAAGAAAGAACACGATTTCAAGCAATGATAGTTGTTCATCATTTTATAGCTTTTTTTAACTGGACACTGAGCAGCATGGTTCCTTGAATAATATTACCCTAAACTATTCACTCATTCAATTAATCTTTATTGATATCCTACAGGATGCAGGGCATGGCCCAAAGTGCTAATGAGTACATTTATGGGATAGTAAAGAATACTGACTCTTAAAGAAATCTTTTTTTTCCCCTTGGAAAATCTGTCAGAGCTCATACATCATTTATAAAATTGAAAAAAATGTCTCTGCAACCTTGGCACCACTACATGCCTTTTATTTTACAGAACACAAACAAAAGCAGAGTCATTTCCTATATCCAGTCTACATCGTGAATTTAAGAAATATGTCCATCATCTTTCATCATGTATTTATAGTTATAATTTATTTATTATGTATGTGCATGATGGAATATTTGTTCTATAAACTCCTATTAGTAAAGACAATTTATATGATGATCACTGATCTGCAGGTTTTCTTCCTCATTTTAACCACAAGTAGTAACTGTTACTACGTACTGTGTTTGTCGGAGGAATTAAAAGTATTTGGGAAATTTTAACTACCTAAATATCTCTTTAAAAGCAAAGAATAACATTGAAGCTTTCAAATTTATAAATGTGAAATTTCAGACCAGAGGCATGGAACAAATTAATAAGTTATTAACAGGGTTCCCAGTGAACAAAATGCTCATCATTTTATATCATTTGCCTGTCCTACAGAGTAGTTCTTTTTTTCTTTTAAATATCTAAAGGAACAAAACCGCTTTGTTACCTAGACACGAACCTGAATACTTTCGCAAAACACAATGCTGAGTCAATAGGTTTATTTTCCACCCATGAAGTGATTTTAGGGTTAAAGGTTAGGAAGCTGGGGCATATATTTATAATTTGCTCGTCCTGTTGTATGTGGTGCCAAAATTTGTTCAGCAGTGACACAGAACTATGCATCTCCCCATTCCCAGAGACAATGGGCTTGGAAAAATACACAATCACAGATTTAAGGTCACAGGGAGAACACTATGATTCACGTTAACAGCATGGTATGCAAGGTGGCAGTCATAAAACAGGCCCATCCTGATGGGAGAGGCTTTTTTCCGTCAGACTGGTTTTGTTGCTATCTCTTTTAGGAAAAACATTTATTTTGTGGTGGGGTGTGTACCTCAGTGCTAGAAGAAAAGAAGCACTTTCAAGGAAGGTTGGTAAGGTTTTTTTTCCCCTTTTCTGGAAACCAGCTGGGAAACTTTGCCTTGGAGCGCCATCTAGAGGAAGCCTCAGCACTTAGCTTTATGACATTAACCAGGCTGTATCCAATGGTTGGTATATGGTGAATTTCTTTTCTTTCTTTTTTTCCCCCCTAGATTAATAGAGAATTTTGGTTCTAACACAACCCACTGACAGGAAATATGAGATCCCTGGAATGGAAATTTAATCACTGATAAGATCAAAACATTGAAAGGCTTTCAGAGTCTTCAGGAGTGCCCAAAACATGAGTATCCATTGGTGGAAAGAAATGGGGCATCATTTTACCATAGGCCAAGGTCACATTCCAGAGATGAGAATTGATGAGTGAGTTAAATTTATTTTTAGCTACACTGATTGAGTAGTCTTTGTTACTTCTGTAATTATTTTCTTAATTAAAAATTTCTGATTAACCAGATTGACCAAAGTCAAGTTTGTAGAAGATAACTTATGCTAGAGAAAAACAAATGTTGACACTTTTAACTGACTGTAACCCTTGGTTAAGTTCAACAAAATTTAATGAGCAGAAAATACTATATTTTCCAGATGTGGCTACTCAATACAATGTGAAAGAGACCAAAATAACGTTGTATTCTTCCTGAAGTCATGTTTCTGTTTTGTGATCTCCTCCACCCCCTCTCCTTAGAGAAATTTAACAATGAAGTCTCCTCTTTCTGTGTTAGCATGAATGCAAAAAAACAAAACCTAAGCCTTCTCCAACAATGCTGCTCTTCAAGATTGCTGATCATACTTGCAAAAACAATTGCACCCTGGAAATAATCTGATGATATGAGCATCCCTATTGTGGTGACATAGTTTAAGAATTCTATTTTCTTCAATTTCTTGGAAAGGATCAAAATTGCCCATATAATGGAAGTACCCACTGCAGAAAACTGGGTACATTTCCTTTTGCTCCTAAGTGTCCACTGTGACCCTGGTGCTCTTGCCAGTTTCCCCTATTCCAACTATTTTAAGGCTTGTCATAAAAATCTGTCTCTGTCTTTGACATTTCTAACTCAAAAATGTCACAGCCATTTCTTTTCCCTTCACTGAACAGGGTTCCTGCTTACTTATTTTGGCAATTCAGCATAAATCCATAGGTTTTCCAAAATAAAGGGGTAAGAAGTTTTTTATTGACTGTCCTCTGTGGGCCAGACACATGAACTCTGTACACAAAAAAATTATACCTTGTTTACTAAGTTATGCTATGGAAAAACAAAATGAAGATTTTTTTTTTCCCCAAGCAATGGTTGTCACTTGAGCCATTAAGCCTCATGGTTCAAAGCATCTTCCTTTCTCACTTGACTGGCTCACTCCTCTGATGGTGGATGTAACAGAAGAATGGAACCAGTCCAGTTTTCCCAGGCCAGTCTGCCTGTTTCTTAAGCAGTCGAGGACCCAAAGCACAAGTCCCTAGTACAAAAGACATTCTGGCCCCATCTTCTTATGCCAGATGCACATTTCAGCTCATGTCAATTCAACATACATTTTTTGAAAACCCACCAAGTACATGACAGAGTGCAAGGCGCTGGTGCGACCCTCAGTATGTGGTGGTTGAGCAAATAAGTAGATGTTGTTGAAAGAACAAGAAATGATCTCTTCCCTCAGCACCTTACTCTATAGGAGGATGACAGATTTGTAACTTAAAATACACAGTAGCAAGAAAGATGTGTTGTACTAGATACAATACAGGGAAAGAAGTAATTATTGATGATTTGGGAGAAAGGGGAAGACTTTTGTAGAAAAACTGGCATTAGATCAATGCCTTAAAGGATGACTAAAATTTTAATAGGCAGAAAATGAGGCAGAGATTTTTTTGTGTGTGTGTGTGAGGAAGAATCAGAACAGAATCATCTTTGTTCATTTGGACCAAAGGAAAATGCATTTCATTTGGCGCTCTGATTTTCTGTTTAAATTTTAGTCTGGCTGCAAAAATATAAGGTATTTGCTTTATGTTGGAAGAATCCAAGACTCACGTTCTCTTTTTTGGTATGGCAATTTGTTTACACACACCCACAGATATGTACGTACACGTGTGTATATATAACTATGAGACCAAAGAAACCAACATATTTAAGCCAGAAAACATTTTACTTGATAGCGTAACAATGTAGTAGAAATTGTGCCAAAACAAGCCTTATTTCTTGCCAAAAGAAGTAAACAGAGGATTTGTTTCAATCTTTGCCACAAACATTTGCTTTCAGATTAAATTCCAAGGCTTCCTTCTGCCCAGCTGTGCTAGGTATCTCCGTGAAACAGACTGGCCACCATCACTGGGTTAAAACCCGGTGGGACGGAGATTTTAAGGCAAGTAAGCCCTAAACCTGCAGAGCGCGCACTCCTACCCCTCTTTTCCCCTTGGCCTCCCTGGGCATTCTCTCAAATAGGCATCCTCTCAGGATTTCCATATTCCTGTGGGTGATGTTCACACCTCCCTACTGGCTTTCCACCAGCCAAGAGTCATATCCAGTGATCTCTTTGTTCTGTTACTCATCTACATTTCCTCTACAAAAAGATTACTTTAAAAATCTGAGCATTTCTTTTGTAAAGAACCAGTTTACCCAGAAAAAATACTGAAGAGAAGCTCAAGTAATCATTCCAAGGCTACACTGGCTTCAAGGGGTCCACGATGTTATAGCTTTCAAGCTGAGAAATTGCTGGCACATATATACTTTCATAACAAGGGCAGGTAAGTTCCAACATAAAATGATCACATGGTAATTTTTCAGAGAAATGGAAACGTAAAGGAGAAGGCCTGCTAGTTCCTGTGAATGAGAAATGATCTTCCACCATCGCTAAGCACACTTACGGTTAACATCGCGAACATCAGCTGACACACGTTGAAGGCATGTCTCCAGTTATGGTACAGAACCATCCGATAGTTTTTCCTCACTGTTAAAAGCCACCTACACAGTGTCTGAAATGGGAGGGAGAGGGTGCGTCAGGCAGTTGCAAGTGATTCCAGTGGACCTTTATCTCAAAGGTGCCTTATGTCTGAGTAACCCTCAATGATCACAGGCCTTCCACAAACATCTCTTCTGGTTCCTACAGTAATCCTATGAGGTGTGCAGGGCAGGGATTATCATCCCCATTTTGTATTTGGGAAACTGGTGGTTCAGAGTGCCTAACACATTGTCCCAGGTGGACTGCTTGGATCACCCAAGACAGACATCTTACCTCATAGTCAATTTTAAATTTCTGTACCATCCCCAGCTCCATGAACATCCGGAGAGCAGCTGTGATCATGGCATCAACATCAAGAGAAAAGTCATCAAAATGAATGTCATCGATGGCAAGTTCTGACACCAGAGGGATGTTGGCTGCCTACAGAAGCAAAAGACATAAGTCAAGCCAAGTTCACCAGCTTTCCTAAACCCCCATCCTGCTCTCCTCCCTTGCTTATCAGAAGTGCCACATAAATCAGGCCTGACCTGCACTTACACCCTGATACAGCTAAACTCTGAGCTGTAAATGTCTTTGTTTCTGAACTGCAAATGCCCCAAGCAAATGAAGGTGGGGGCAGAGGGGCGGGGGGCAGGGGGCGGGAGGGAAACTAATCTGAAGATAAAATACACACACTGGATCTAGTCTGCAGAATTCAGAATACAGCACTGTCAAGTTTATGGAAACCGTGGTCATACAATATATTCTGATGCATATTACAGAGCACTAAATGCAAGAAACATCTGGGCAGCCAGCAGCTGTGAATTTTAATTGACGCTATTCAGGAGAAGGAGATGGGAATATACCACTTTGCCTTGTTTCTTCTATCCTTATATCCTGTAGCTTGCAAGTGTTCTTTGTTACACACGTGTTCTGTATATTCATAATGACTGAAAGGATCAGACAGTACATCTCTGGTGGGAAATATGTTGCCTTAATAAAATAGAGATATCTGGAGGTTTAGCATAAGCATATGTTTCACTGAGGAGATCAATTTCACTGAGGAGATCAATTTTGCTGTCTTGTTTAGCTTCATTCTATATAAGCATACAACATAATTATAATACTGGTCATACATATTCAAGGTTTTCAAAACACCCATGTTAGGCAACTGTCAATCAGCTGTCCCACAAACGAGCCTGAAAAGGAGAAAAAGAAAATCTTGGGAAATCATTTGTATGGTGATTTCATTGGCTTTACCATATTCTTTGGATCCACTCTTGGTAAGGGAGTCACTTTTATATTTTCAGGTTATCAGAGACCATTCTGTATTTATATTCCTATCTATTCACTGAGTTTAAATTACCCTGACAGTAATTTATGCCCTGGAGCTACTTACTTTGGCTTAGAGATTCAGTCCAACTCTGGCTGCTCTAAGCATTCCAGAAAACACATCATTAATCCTTCCTTCCCAACTCTATGCTCCTCCATAGGTGGAGCTTAGTTTTCCATGTACTTGTAATTAATTCAACCCCAAAACTCTCTACCAGTTGTCTAAGTCTCCTCTCAAAATGTTCATATGCTTTGGGCATTCCATCAGTTTCACGAATAAATTACTCCTGGAACTTCCTGCATTTCTCGAATCTAGACCAACTATCTTCTATGTCTGATATGTAGTTTTCATCCTAGGATACTCCTTCACCGTAATTATGGGGATGTCTTTCTCTCTCTCTTTTGTTTCTCTAGCCCACATCTTTCTCTTTCTTGGTTTCTCCTCTCATTTTGGTGAGACACATCCTCTAACAGATTCCCAAGAAAAGGTATGAGGTAGATTTGTGAGGCCGTGCAGTCTGAAATGTTTTTGTATTACTGTCACATTTCATTAACAGTTTGTCTAGGTAAGATTTCTAGGTTGGAAATCATTCTATTAGAATGTTAAAGGCATTGCTCTTTGATCTTTTAAGCAGTCAGAAGCTATTCTGGGCTATTATACTTTGAAAATAACTCCCCCTCCTACCCAGTTTGTGTAGAATTTTTTTGCTTCAAGAGTTCTGAAATGTCATGGAAATGTGCCTTGGTGTGAGTTTATTTTCATTTATTATCCTAGGCACTTTGTAAGCCTTTTTCTTTCTTTCTTTCTTTTTTTCCCCCAGTGTATCTATTACAGGTTTTTGCTTTGTAGTTACCATGAGGCTTAGCTTTAGCTGTAGTAAATTATTTTAAAGGCTTATCTTTAGCTATAATAAATAATTAAGATGACATCTTAATTCTGATTGCAAAAAAAGAGAGAAAAAACAATACTTAATTCCATCCCCCGCTGCATTTTGATTTTTTGTTGTCACTTTAAACCTTACTTTTTAAAAAAAATTTATTATACTTTAAGTTCTAGGGTACATGTGCACAACATGTAGGTTTATCACATATGCATACATGTGCCATATTGGTTTGCTGCACTCATTAACTCATCATTTACATTAGGTATATCTCCTAATGCTATCCCTCCCCCCTTCCCCCACCCCATGACAGACCCCGGTGTGTGATGTTCCCCGCCCTGTGACCAACTGTTCTCATTGTTCGATTCCCACCTGTGAGTGAGAACATGTGGTGTTTGGTTGTAAGCCCATTTCTTAATTGGAAAATTATGTCTTTTAATTCTAGAAAAACATTTTAAAATAAGCTCTTTGAAGATTTCTTCTTCTCTTTTATTTTTCTGGAATTCTCTTAACTTCATCTTTGGACTGGTTTGTCTTTCTTTTCTTTTCTTTTCTCTTCTCTTCTTTTCTCTTCTTTCTTCTTTCTTTCTTTCCTTTCTCTTTTCTTTTAGTTTTAATTTTCTTTTTCTTTCATGCTTTTCATTTCTCATATGTTTTATTTCTTTTCCTTTTTGCTCTGTTTTCTAGGAAATTTCTTCTTACTGTTGAGATTTTAATACCACGGTTTTCATTCTAAGAACTCTTCTTTTGTTGTCTGGATATTCCTTTTTATATAATTTTAATAGCACCCTAATTTTATTTCACAGATACAATATTTTCTCTTACCTGCCTGAGGATGTGAATGACAATTCTATTTGTCATTTTCTTCTCCTCTTATAATTTGCTTCACTCTCTGTATTTTGTTTTAGTCTCTGTTTTAAAATTGTGGTACAAATACTGTACTGTGTACAGTACAGTATTGTTAACTATATGCACATTGTCAAACAACAGATCTCTAGAACTTTTTCATCTTGCATGGCTGTAACTCCATACCTATTAAACAACTCCCCATTTCCTCCTCCTCCCAGCTACTAGCAACCACCATTCTTTCTGTTTCTATGAGTTTGATTACTCTACTTCATACAAGTAGAATCCTGCAATATTTGTCTTTTTTGTCATTGGCTTATTTGACTTAGCATAATGTCCTCAAAGTTTATCCATGTTAAAGCATATGACAGGTTTTCTTTTTTTAAAAAACTGAATAATATTCCATTGTATGCATATACCACATCTTTGTTCTATTCATCAATCAATGGTTTCATCTCTTTCTTCATCAGCCAACTTTCAATAAATTATTTTAATACATTAGAGGCTTTAGAAATATTAGAGGTTTTCCTCAGTGGCCTGGTAATCTTTAGTTTTCCACTCCTGTGTAAAAGTGGGGCTCTAAAAGTTTCTATTGGAGCTTCTGGGGGCTTCTCTGTAGGGGGAATGTGTCTGACCTGGGGAAGCCACCAATGTCAGCGTCTTTGTGTCTTTACTCTTTAGCTACTCAGAATCCCCAGAGAAGAGTCTTCTGGCTGGAGCCTAGTGGGGAAGCAGGTTGGAGGAGGAGTCTCAGCATTGGTCTCCTGTTCATTCAGTCCTCCTGTTTTCACCCTGCACACCCACCCTCATGCTCTGCACTGACAATCCCCTAACCCAAAGACCCACGATTATATTCTCTCCAGACGACAAGCCTCTAGTCTTTATGGAGTGGGGAGTAGAACAAAGGATCTGGGGCTCTAACTGCTTCTTAAGACTCTCTGTTTTCCTGTTTATAAGCCCATCTTCATTTGCACTTCCAAAGGTACTTAATTAGTCAATTCCTGAGCTATTTGTGGGGAGGAGTCTATGGTATAAATCTGCTTGCCTCTCAGCTTTTCCTATTGGTAGGTTATTTTGGCTGTCTTGAGTTTGCTAAATTACTTCCTATTCATCCATCTGTTTTCCAGCATCCAAAATTTTGTCACTGTTAAGTCCCTTCCCAATTTCTTTGGCTTTGAGAATTTATGCATAAAAAAAAAAAACCTTTATTTTTGTTTTAGTAGTGCATGGGGAGACAACAAAAGAAAATGGGTGTAGTTGATCTATCATCTTTATCCAAAAATCAATGAAGTTATCTTTAGTAAATGATACCTAGGATGGTCAGCTTGGAGAACTCAGAAGGAAGCCAGCCTTTAGTCTGTAGGCCCTTTGTTTCTATGTACACAGGCCTGGCTGCAGGCATGTAAATCTCTTTCTCTTATTCTGTGCCCCTGTGGGTTCACGTTTGCCAGTTATTAGGCTGTAACAATCTTAGAGGCAGATGCCATGTTTGTTTGTTTGTTTGTTTTTCTCAGAGAAGTTCCAGAACAATTCTTTACTCCTATCATGTGTTTGAGGGTTTGTAAATAGAGAATACCAAGATCTCAGAAATATCTGTGCTTGCTGTAATTTGTTCCAACTCAAAATCAAATGTTAGTGAAAAAACACTTTTCAAGAGATAGAGGTCCCATCCCAAAAGACACAAATCTTTCTGGTCTCAGGAGAGAAGTCTGGTTCTGAATTGGCAAAGGAGGCTGAACTTTGTTACAGTTTGAACCTTGTTTCCAAAGAAGCAGAAATGGTGATAGAGGCAGCACTGCTCCACTCCAGGTGGCCCCTGTCTTGTAGATTATTAATAGTGTATTCCCTGATACCATTATTAATCCTCTACCTTTCAAAGGCACTAAATTCACTTAATTATCTTAAAAATTAAAGAATATAGGAATTTTTTTCATTATGAAATGTTAATGGAAAGGAAATAAGAACATTAGGTTGAAAATGTAAAATGACCTCTGGTTCACCAAGACCCATCCTTATTGACCTTGTCTTTTTTTCCCCTAATAGGTTGATTGATCCGTGGTTAAATCATACCGGTCTGTAGATCACGCTGAGCCCTGCCATAAACCCTTGCTGGCACGTGTAGATGAAAGAAAGTTCCAAGCCTTTCAGGAATGACCATTTTCAGCTATTTTGAGAAGTCTGGGTAGTTTTCATCCCCACATTTCTGGGTTCAAGAGCAGGTTCTGGAGAAAACTATGAAGAGTAACAGGCAGCATGTATCTTGAGCAGACAAACATAGAGCTCTGGTCTGCAAAAGATTTGGGAATAGCCTTCCATTGACAAATTCCTTGTTATAGAGACACAGTGCTCCCTGTTGCTTCCAGTAAACAGAAAATGAGATTG